TTTTTTAGCTCGTGTTCTGCTTCCTTAAACTTTAACAGGTCGATTTCAGCTTCTTCAGTAGGTTTGACTGTAGTTTGTCCTGAGAGTCTTCAGCCTCGTGAAGCTCTTTACGTTTCGGCTGCTCAGTGTTGACCCGAGGTTCATCTGAAGATTTGTTGGAATGCTCCTTTAAACCTCCCCTCTTGGTTCCCACAGAGCGTCCATCAAAGGTCGCGACCTCTCTGAGTCTAATCCCCTCCCTACTCTCCTCCAGATAAACTCAAATCTCCAAACATCTGAGAGTCTCCCCGTCCCACGACCTTTGACCCGTGACCTCACTGTGACATCACCAGGCGTCACGACGCCACAGAGGCACCTCTTTACCTTGAAGCAGTTCTTGAACTTCTTGGAGATGAAGAAGAGTATGATGGGATTGATGCAGGAGTTGATGGTGGCCATGTTGATGCTGAAGTAGTCGAGCACCAACAGGAAGCTGCAACAACAGGAAATGGCTCTTTCAAACTAAAAGCTCACAGAAATGAAGCATGACGGGTAGTTTTACGTTTCAGGACGTACTTTAGGAGCTCGCAGCGCCGAGCGTCGTGAGGTCTGTAGATGGTTCTCTTCAGCAGACGGCTCAGGTGGAGCGGGAACCAGCAGAGGGCGAAGATCACCACCAGGCAGAACACGGCTTTAGCTACTTCTCGACGCTGCAGGAAGAAGAGACTGTCAAGAACTTTGAAGTGAAACTTTAAAATAAATTCTTAAATGGACTGGAAGCTAGTGGAGGGAGACTAAAACTGGGGTGATGTGCTCATGTCTGGGAGTGATGGTCAAAAGACAAGCCGCAGTGTTTTGGACCAGCTGAAGACGTCTAATGGAGGGTTGGGAGATTTGTACATACAGAGCGTTGCATTAGTCAAGCCTTGAGCTGATAAAAGCAGGAATGGCCTTTTCCAGGTCAGAGCAATGTAAAAAGGCTTAACTTGGAGTAAAAGACGTAACTGATTTGATCACAGTGGTTATATGTTTGTCGAGCTTTAAATCCTTGTCAAAGGTCACTCCCAAGTTTTTAACTGTGGGTCTAAACTTGGATGTCAAAGCACCAAAGTAACAAAGAGCATCATCACCAAAAAACATACGCTCCGTCTTTCCTCCATTTAAAAAGGGACAATTTTGGTGAAACCACTGTTTAATGTCAGCAATACAATTAAAAAAATAAGTGTAGGTTACTACTTTTAGGCTTCATTAGCAAATAAATTTGTGGGTCGTCGGCATAGCAGCGAAAAGAAAAGTGGTGACTGAGTATGACTGATCCAAGTGGCAGCATATGAAGAGAAAAAAGTAGAGGACCGAGACTAGCGCCCTGCAGCACGCCACAAGAAACAAGGGCAGTGGAGGAAGACAGAGTAGCGTCATGACAGAGAAAGATCTTTTGGTCAAACCACATGAGAGCTGAACTTCTTAGTGCTGAAGACGAGACAGAAGGACAGCAGGTCCACTGTGTCAAAGCAGCGGTAAGGTCCAACAGCACCAAAGCAACAGGACACTTAAACATGGACAGGTCTCGTTATGGACTTTTAACAGGGCGGACTCAGTACTGAGACGAGTTCTAAATCCAGACTGAAATTTTTCATAAATCGCATGTTTTTCTAAGACAGGTTGTAAATACATAAAAACAAGTTATTCAGAGACTTTGGCTAAAAAATGCAAATGAGGAAAACGTCTAAAATTTGATGAATTGATGGGTCGAGGTGAGTTTTTGGTATTTTTTTTTTTGAGAAGGGGCCTAAATCTTGGGAGGAATGGAGGATGTTCTCACAGTTAGTGGCTGAAGCGTGAAGGCAAGTGAGCGGGTTAACAGCAGAGGGGCCAGAACCAGAGGGACCCTCATGGTTTCTGGGGGCGACTAACAGTTCGTCAGGTCTGGGCGCTAAATGTTTTTGTTTTTTTTGTCGAGGGCTAACGAGGATCATTCAGATGTTTTTTGTTTGCGTACCTGTTTGAGGTGTTCACTCAGCGACACCTTCAGACTTCCCTTCTGGTGTTGGAGCATCTCGCAGGTCATCAGGCCGTAGAAAACAGCCGAACACGCCAACGGCACGCAGAAGTAGAACCCAAACAGCCACCAGTCCTTGGCGTCCCGGTAGAACTGGAATCGTTCAGAAATCAGAACACAAAGTCCGGAGTTCAAAGATAAATACGGTTTATTTCATAAAACTGTGTCTCTATAGGTCCCAGTGCTCCAGAACCAACCAGAACCCACAACTGGAGTCTTTTCTGCTGCATCAGTGACCCGGGTCCGGATTTAGCAGCTGGTTGTGTTCGGTCCAATCATGACCCGGAGACGTAAACAGGAAGTGCTCATTTAAACTGAGTTCACGAGGCCTCGCCCAGAAACACCACAACAAAGACATGGTGGAAACGGACCAGACTGCTGGTTCCCTTATCTCCACCCAGAGACGCACCAGCAGCCAGAAGAGTCAGAACCAGAACCCTCCACCAACAGAACCCTCCACCAACAGAACCCTCCACCAGCAGAACCCTCCACCAACAGAACCCTCCACCAGCAGAACCCTCCACCCTGATGTTTGTTTACCAACATTAGGTGCAGAAAGTTCAGCTTGGGAACATTTTAGAGCTCGGCTGGTGCGTTAAAGTTCTTTAAGCTGATATGAATCCTCATTTGAGACACACACACACACACACACACACACACACACACACTCACGGTCATGAAGGGCGTCCTGGGCAGCAGCATGCAGGTCATCATGGTCACGTTGTTGTGCTCGTTGGGGACCAGGCTGAAGCCGACGGCCTCCGGCACGGCCAGGACGATGGACAGTAGCCAGATCGCCACGATCTCCACTGCCGTCGCCATGGGAACGCCGTTGCCCTGGATCCTGGACCAGGACACCACCGCACGGTACCTGAGGTTCAGAATTGTTCAAATGTTTAATCTGAGCACACGCTCCCACATCCACTGAGGCTGTCAACAAGTTATGTTATGGAACGAAATCTGGGAAAACGTTCTGAATTTAACTCGATCTTCTCTGAACTGGACACTCAGTCACAAACACATTGATGGTTCTGAAGGTTCTAGAGTCTGATAACTTCTCATTAGTGATCGTGACTGACTGCAGCCGGTGGTTTCTCTTTGCCGGCATCAAAAGGATTCGTTTGACAGCTGTCGCTGAGCTGATCGACACTCTGCTGGAAGGAAACTGGTTCAGATGTCCAGGAACCACCAAGTCCTGTTTCTTTCAACAACTGGGAACCTCAGCAGCATGTGGAAGAACCATACACAGCCTCAACAGCCTGGCCTCTCCTCATGCTTCACAGGCTGCTGTGGGACGACAGCTTCAGTCTTCGATTTAGCCCAGGTGTGTCTGTGTCTCACCTGTCCACGCTCAGAGCGCACAGGTTGAGGACGGTGATGCCGACCGAAGCTTTCTGCAGGAACGGAAACAGCTTACAGAGGAACAGACCGAACGCACTGTCAGCAAAAGGCCACTGGATCACCAGGAGCTGCACACACACACACAGAGACACACACAGAGACACACGCAGAGACACACACAGAGACACACACAGAGACACACACAGAGACACACACAGAGACACAGCAAAGCTTTTAAAGGTTGGCGCCGCAGCACAGAGACTTTTTGTGTTATCTGCGTGTGTTTGTGTTATCACAGTGGAGGTATTTCTGTGCCGTTATCAGAGGAACACTCAACCTCCTGACTGAGACACACAACACAACGAAAGACAGGAAGTTCTGTTCAACACAACAACAACAACACAATATTAACACTGTAATAACAGCACAGTAATAAAAACACAATAATAACACAACAACAATGACACAATATTAACAACACAACACAACAATAACAACACAATAAAAACAATATAACAATAACAACACTATAATAACAACACAATAATAAAACAATAATAGCACAATAATAAACACAACAATAACAACACAATAATAACACAATATTAACACAGTCATAACAACACCATATTAACACAACAACAACACAATAATAACACAAAAACACAATAACACAACAACAACACAATAATAACACAATAACACAACAACAGCACAATAATAACAGCACAATAAAATGTGAAGGAACTGAACTTTTAACTGATCACTGTGTGTGCTGAGCCCTGAATGACTGTTGAAATTAGCTGAATTGGCTGAAACTGAGGTGTTTCAGCTAAAAGAGGCAGAACATTTAACAACAACTGAAAAAAATGAAGTTGCAATAGACTAGCTAAAAACTAAAATTAATAAAGGGCTAGTTACATGCTAAAACTATCTAAAGACTACTACAATGTATGTATTTGTATAATTATATTATAATAATTAATATAATAATAATTAGTATAATTATATTATATGTATAATGTACAATCAATTTATTTTCATGTTAGCTAAAAGTAACATGGAAATACTTATAAACTAAAAAGTAACAAAAAAGCCAAAATTAGCAGAACACTGACTAAAAGCTAAAGTGCAAAAGGGGTTTAGCTAAGTGTCTAAAGGCTGTCTGAAATCTAAAAATAACAATTGGCTAACTAAAAACATCAAAAAGCAAGCTAGAAGCCAAAAGTAGCAAAAGGCTAGTTTAAACTATCAAAGGAATAGCTAAAAGCTAAAGATAGCAAAAGCCTACTTAAGAGCTAAAAGTAACATGAAGCTAGCTAAAAGTGAAAAAGCTAATTACATACTAAATGTAGAAAAAGATAGCTAAAAGCTAAAAGGGGCAAAAAGCTATTTTCAAGCTAAACGTAGAAAAAAAGCTAGTTTACAGTGGCTAAAGCCTAGCTGATATCAAAAAATAAATTGCTAATTAAAATAAGTCAAAAGGCTAACTTAGCTAAAAATTGCAAAAAGCTAATTTAAAGTATCAAAGGGATGGCTAAAGCTAATTTTAGCAAAAGACTAGCTAAAAGCTAAATGTAACACAATGCTTATGAAAAGCAAAGATAACATAATACTAACTACAAGTAGCAAAAACTAGCTAAAGCTAAAGTAGCAAAAGGCTAAAATCAGTAGAATGATGGCCTAAATCCAAAACTAGAAAAAGACTAGCAAAAAGCTAAAACAGTATAATGGTAGCTAAAATATAAAGAAACATTTCAACAAGAAAACATTGTAATTCTGAGGGGAATATTTGTAAATAAAGTTAAATATTTTAAAAAGTATTTAAAACATCTAGAACTCACAGCAACCATCTCCTGAATGAGCCGAAGGTTTTGAGGAACAGCTGAACTATCTCGAAGTGTAGAAGCAGTCAGACGGTAAAGATTAAACACAAACAAGTAAGCTACAGAGTGAACGCTGACTCAGCAGGTAAATGCTGACTCACCTTGTAGACGTTGATGGGTAGATCTATAACGATGTAGATCAGGTCTCCCAGGGCCAAGCTGGCGATGAGCGCGTTGGGTCCATTTCTCATGCTTTTATTTTGGTAGATGATCCTCAGCAGGGTGGCGTTACCGATGATGCCCACGGCGAAGATCAAACAGGACAGCACCGTGTTGATGTACTTGAAGACCGTCTGGATCGACATGGTGTGCAGGCACGGGGGCGGAGGCTTCATGATTTTCTGAGACGAGTTGGAGGGCGACGCAGCAAACGAGGGTTTCCGTTCGTGTTTGGGTTTCAGTTTGCTCACGGTCCTCATCTTTTCTGGTTCGAACTCCAAAGACATCTGGGGTTTGTCCACCGTCTCCTGGGAGAGACGCGAGCCACGACCTGCGACCTCCACGTGCTGCGGTGGGTCGGTGCCCAAGTCGTACGCCTTCAGGTCCAACGGGCGAGGCAGAGACGTGGCGTTACCGTGGCAACCGACAGGAGAGACAAACAGGAAACAGAAGACAACCAGCAGCAGCGGGGACGTCCTCTGCATCCAGGCCTTTTCTGGTCCAAACCCCCTGACTGGGTCCACGGCTGGGCCTCCAGAGACCATCCTGGAGCTTCTTCTGATGCCTGGATCAACGGTTTAAAACCAGCTGGAGCTCCAGAACCGGTTTGTGTTTCAGAACTAGTCGGGGCCCTGAAGACTCCTTGATTTTTCCAGAGGAAGCTGCCGGTTGAAAACCTTGTTGTTGTTGAAGGGAGTTCTTGGATCCAAGTCTTGGTGGTTGGATTTGAACCAGGAGTCTGGCGTTATCAGAAGGAGTTACTGAAGATCTGGAAAAAAACAATGTTGGGTTGTAAGGATGGTAAATACATTCAAGTCCTGACATTTCTTGAAGGAATGCATATCACCATCATCATTCATCATAGATCATCTCATGTTGAGAAACGATGAAGTCGTCGTTCTGATCAAACATTAAACGAATATTCAACATTGAGACGTCTCCGCTGTGATGCCAGCTACTACCACTCTGCAGGATCTTCACAGGACACCTCAGCCTCTGACCTCGGTGCGGTTCCTGACTGTAAGACGAGGTGGGTCGAAGCATCCTACCCCTGATGCTCCTGTGAGCCTTGTAGTAACAGAGGCGAAACAGTCGACGTGTGAGTAAGTCGGCTTTGCGGCTCAATAACGTGACGAAGTGATGACACCTGGTCTTTGCGACCACCCGGTAACGGGATCGAACTACAACAAACGGACTTACTGTCGAGAGAAGATGGACCATGAGAAACAGCAACTTTGTGTTTAGTTGGAAAAATTAGTAAATCACAAAAAGAATGAATGAACTAAGTTAGTTTGTCAAGTGCGAGGGAGACG